ACCACATCTCTTCCTTTCTACTGGCCATATCATGTTTCCAAAGTTGGACTTCAATAAATCCTAGCTTAATCACTCTATTCTAAAACCATCAGACAAAAGGTATAAAAAGTCATGCAACTAAATAAAACAAAACAGGACATACCACAAACAATGGAAGCATTTATTTTTCAGAATGAATTACTGCCATAGTGTTTATTTTAATAATAGTTTTGTTATAAAGAGAGAACCATTACAGTGCAAACAACATTGGGATAGTGTAAGAGCTGGAAAACCTAGACTCTAACCCACACTCTACCATACGCCTGCCAGCAAATCACTTAACCTTTCTCAACCACAAGGAGTAATTACTATGTACTCTGCCAAGCTCACAGCGCTATTTATTAGGATACAATAGAATAATATATATATAAAACTACTTGGAAATTTATAAAGAACTACATAAATGGTATTATTTTAATGATGACTGTACCCTCCAATTTAAACTAGCATTTTATTTTAAAATGTGAACTTGTTGCAAAAGAAAGAAATTAAGGGACAACTATTTATGCTATAGAATTCATTCCTGAATAAATCACTACAAAGTTCAGCAACTCAAATCTAATCTACAGCAATTAAAATGTGAGTCAATTGTCAAAAATATGCTTCATGTTCAATTTTTCAGGAAGACATTTATTACATAAAACAAGGCAGATATTTGAATCTTACCACAAAATTACAATCACAAGCTCATTACACTAAATGCACTAAACCATGTTATGTTTATGTGGCTCCATTTTGCAACCTGATACAATGCACCATGTCCCACAGTTGAAGAGGTGAACCAACACATGTAGGAAATACAAGAGTTGACTCTTGGTTTACAGGAAAGCACGTGATTACCCAGGACATAGCACAATCTGTTGTACGTAAGAATTCCTAAATCTATTTCACAGACCTACTGCTCTTAGACATAAAAAGGCACTGTGTGAGCTAGGGATCTAGCTCAGTGATAGAGCAGTAGCTTAGTGAGGCCCTGGGTTGCACCCCTAGTATGGGGAGATGGGTGTACTGTATGAAGAAGTGGAAGGAGCGGCTGCAGTAGGCTGAAATGCATCCACTTATTTGTAACACTAGGGACAGAATCAACTGTGATGAGTTTCAGGATTTGTTTGGCTAACCATTAAATTCATTTTGGAGTCAACAAATTACCATCGCATCCAAAAAATTCTAACCTTTCATCTTGCCAAGTCTACCTACAGTCCATTTCAGAGAAGAAGCTACAGCAGGAATCAGCTCCTTTCCTTATTTTATGTCCTTCTGTACAGGAAGAATTTAAATCAAGGAGTATCTGGAAGGCAGATGTACTCAAAAAGGTCATGAGCACAAACCACCAACTGGTGGTTTACAAAAAAGTAAATTAGTGAATTCCCCCTTTAAATGTTAATCGCCTAGAGGGGTTAACAATCATTCAGCTTTGTGCTCCATCCCAGTAAAGGAAAGGAAGTGAGCCATGAGGAGGAAACAAGGAAGGCAGCACGATGGGGAAGGCGGGAGTGAAGAAGAACAGACACCAGAAATGCAAAGGGAGAGGTAAAAAGACACCAAAGATCAATTTTGCCAACAGCTGCCTACTATCCCTTTTCCCTCATAGCAAAGCCCGTTCACAGAGAAAACAAGATTTTGTGATTTGGGGGGCTCTATTTTCTTAATGCAAATTTAACAAATGGCATGACATATAATCTAGGTTACATGTGAAAACTGAAGAAACTTTAGGTTCCTAATAAGTTTCTATTCACTATATGATGGGGAAAAAAACGAGTCTCCGCTTCACAAAAATCTATTGAAAAGAACAATGAACCAGAACTTGAATACTTAGTTCCTAGTTTTGGTTTTGACCCTCTTTAGGCTTTAGGTTAATCACTAAACTCTGTGTTCTCATCCACTCAACAAATATTTCTCAAGTGCTTAAAAAAAAAGAGCTATTTTAGGATTTCCTCAACTCTGACTGCACATTAGGGTCACCTGAAAGGTTTTTTGAAAAAAACAGAAAAAAAGTCTTTTGGTCTCTGAATTTCTCATTTAATTGGTCTGGGGTGGGACCCAGGCATAGACTGAAAACGAAAACTCCCCTGCAATTTTAACATGTAGACAGGGTGAAGAACCACTGGTCTATTTCATCTGATGCATATGTGAGGAACAGCAAAATACTAAAAGCCCTCCCCACTTTTGAAATGTATCAATTTCCCCTTATTCAATACTGTTCCAGCCCATATTTTCACCACCCCTCACCTAGATTAATTAGCATGATAGTGTCTTAGTTATTTCCCCTTCCTCCAGCCTCCTCCCAATCCACTAAACCTTCCATGTTTGTCTAATCAGTTTGGTTCTGAAATATTATCCTGCTGAAAGTCATTTTAAGTACAGTACAACAATATCACCAAACAGAGTTGTTTTCATCAAATAGAGGATATACTATGTGTATATTTGCATGTATATTTGTGTGTGTGTGTGTGTGTGTGTGTGTGTGTAAAACCTAACACACAATTTTTCTTCAGTTCTGGTGTACCTACTTTCATTTACACATAATCAATATTGGTCTCTTTACATTGAAAAATATTGCCTCTAAATATTCCATGGCTAAATTTTTGTCAAAAACAAATGGCAAATGAATCACCCACATTTATCCCATTTAAATGAAAAAAAGGTACAGCTAAAGATCTTTTTTTACTCTATCTGATCTTGAAGTGTTCCCACAAGGATCATACATTCAACTGAAAAAATAAATAAATAAAAGGAAGTGGAATTATTTGGACAAGTCCTGTGTTACTAAAGACACTAATAAAGATTATGACAAAGGTGAGGGTACAACACTTGCTCAGCACAGTGGTACAACACTTGCTCAGCATGCACAAGACCCTGGGTTCAATCACCCTCCTAAAAAAATAACGGTGAATGAATGTTTACCAAGGACAAATATGGTTCTGGATTGTGTTGAAACTTGCCTCAGAAAACCAACTAAAGCCTTAAAAGCCAAAGGTTACAACTGAATAAGATGATCTTTGTATTTATGAGAAATATCAAACACAATAAAACAAATATAGAAAGAGAAGACTAAACAAGGATACCACCGATCCCCTGTGTTTAAGGGGCTCTCCATCTTCTTCAGGACAGCAAGATACAAGCATAAAAAGAAAATAAAGCCAGCACTGCCAAGTAAGTGGTAAAGACAATAAGTACCATGGGAATTCAAAGAAACAGGAGACTGCCAGGAGACTGCTATGGACTAAGGGAGTTGGAGACAGCTTCTTGGAAAAGCTGGGAGCTCGAACAAAATTAAATAGGTAGAGAAAAGAAGGAAATCCCAAACATGCAAATAACCTTGTACAAAGATGAGGTCAAAATGCACATATTTGAGGAAGGGGAGTTGACCTAGTTTGAATAGAGGGTTCTATGTAGCAGTGTTTGTGGAGATAATGTTGCAATAATGAACTGGACCTGGACAGTGAAAGCCCTGAATGCCAAGCTGGGATGCTTAAACTTTGTCCTACAGATAGATGAATCCTATGTAGGTTATAAAGAACAATAAGCACACATGCACACACACACATACACACCCCTCTAATGATGCAATCTGAAGCCATTTTTCTTGGAGCTTTTGAAGAACACATCAAGTAATATAATATCTTGCCAGTCGAGTTGTGAATATGTGAACATATTGTTTAGGAAATCCGTTCAGAGTGAAAGAGTAAATACTCAAATGTGCTTTCCAAAATACAAAATCAGGTATCGATTACGCATTCATAGTTCTTAGGATAATGCCTAAGAGAATCACAGGGTGGAAAGCTTCAAATTTAGGTTTTCCTCCAGTCTCCATTCTCCTCCAACACACATGCCTTGATTTAATATCAAGAAAGTGAATACACTGAAATTATCTTGCTGTGGAAATAAGGTCTTTTACTACTTCTCACTATGGGTGAATTCACTTACTATATTGTTTCCAAAATGACTACATCTACGGAAATAATTTTGTCTATGATTTATTTCAGCAAAGTACATGAAACACGCATAAATAACAAATTTAAAGATTATGAAAAGCAAAAAACCCTTTCATCAAACCAAAACATAGCTAAAATAAGCAGCACTGATTTAGACGACAGAGAGGAAAGAGTGTGTTCCTAACAAAAAATGCCAGCCACAACAAAGACTAACAGAGAGTACACGAAGAATATTACAATAGCCAATTTCTCACCAAAAATGAAAAGCCATTAATCCACAACTCCATAAAGAATGAAGTTATTTTTTTTCTCAAAAATTCCCTTAAAATTTTTGGCTCTTTCTGCTATAAAAATTAAGACCGTAACATAACTCAAAACAAGGATTATCCTTCTTCCAGTAACCAGACATGTAAGTGATTGATGATTTAATTTGCTACTGCAGCAAATACTAATTTAACCACCACTACTTTCTCAACACCAGAAAAATGAGAAAATCTGTCTTTAAGGCATATGTGACAAGAAAGAAGCCAAAAATATGTAGGATGATTAAGCTGCATTGAAAGTAACACAAACCATAGCAATACTGCTACCGTCTGAAAAAGGCTATGCCATTCTTTCAGGCACGTATGCCTTTAAGGAATATGTAGAGATTATGATTTTATGCATTGTCTGTTCCCCACCCCCATCCTCCGGAAAAGATAGGAACATCCAGGAGAGTTGGAAGAAGTGAATTAAGAGAGGTGTCAATACCTCCCTTCCACCCATGCTGGAGAAACTCGTTTTAACAATAATGCTCTTTCACCCCTAAACATCCCACCCAGTTTGCACACATCCTTCAGTCAGCATTCCCCACACCCGTATTCCCAGCTTTGCCCTGACGCTCAGAACAGCCTGCTCCGACTTTGTTAGTGTGGTCGCCCCCGCGCACCCGCCTAGACCAGCAGAGTCCGACAAGGCAGCCACGCAGCCACCCACTACCCCCACCTCCTCCTTCGTAGCTCAGTTTCCCTTCCCCCGGTCTGTCACCTGCTTGGGTGGTGTCCGTCAGGTCATAGCCGCTGCCCGGAAAGTCTCGGAGTTTCCTGCCACTGAGGCTCAGGATGCCGGAGTTGCCCGCCTCCTCCAGGGCCCGGTCCAGGCTCCTCACGGTGTGTTGAGGCTGCAGGCTCCCCGGGTTCCACTGCGGCCCATTGGAGAACGGCTGACCGAAGAGAGTCGGTACCGGGATGGGCACCACCAGGGTCCCGCCGCCGCCGCCGCCGCCGCCGCCTCCCCCTCCAGCCCCGCCACCTCCTCCTCCGGCCGCGCCACCGCCACTGCTACTTCCACCTCCACCACAACCACCGCCCCCACTGTTACCACCACCTCCCTGACTCGCCGCCATGTTCCTGGGAGAGAGAATAGCCCCCGACAATACTCTCAGCCTGTGCCGCGAGTGTAGGGGGTTCTTAGGACGCATGCGCAGGCTGGGGGGGGGGGCGAGGTAGAGGGTGGGAAGGAACCAGGGGGCGGGCTGCAAGGAGGTGTTGGATAGAGATGATGTTCCAAAGTGCAGAACGCTCGCTTTAAGAAATGTATGATCAGAAGAAAGATGCTAAATCCTGGTTCTGCTGCTTTGGGTACCAAAATCTGGAGAAACGACACCAGGCAAACTATAGGTCGTTTGTACAATACGTCCCCAGATCTCTAAGTTGCTTCTCCTTTTTCTTTCTGCAAAACAAAAAGAAATATATGAGGCCGGCATGAAAAGGATTTGTTTCCGAATGTATAGAAACTGCTTTTCGAAGGAATATGAGGCAGCGTACTGAGAAGCCCACTGCCAACGCTCGGGAATCATTTATTAGTGGTAGCACAGACAGAAAATCTAGGTAGTCATCTGGAGAAGAAAATAAGTCAAGTACTGAGTTTTAGGCACACAGGAATTTTGCCACCGTTTAGAATTCCAAAGTAGGAAAAGACTTTAGATGTTTTCAAGGAACCTCTCGTTACAGTGTATGCGAGCCTCAGCCAAACTTCTGCCTTCCAAAACTTGGAAGAGTTCTCCACATTCTGTTCTATCACTCTCTGAAGCTGTGCCAAGATCTCGAAAATATCTCCAGTTCCTTCTCATCATGTCAGTATTGGATGATGAAAAACGCTTTGATCATTGAACAATCTTAAACGTTATTTTTGAACTAGAGGTTTCTGTTTAAATGGAATTCTGAAGATTTAATGCTGGATATATGAGGCCAATCACTGTTGGACTTTAGGAGTTCCTTCTTAGAACCTAAGGACATTTCTAATGTAGCCAATAAAGAGAAGAAAATCAAACTTTTTCAGCTAGTGCAGGCCTCAGTAATCCAACTCTGATCTACCTAGGCAGTTTTCATTCAGCTCTTTTTAATATTTTTTTAGTTGTTGATAGACCTTTATTTTATTCATTTATTTGTATGAAGTGCTGAGAATCAAACCTAGTGCCTCACACATGTGAGGCAAGCACTCCACCACTGGGAGGTGACCCCAGCCCTCATTCAGCTCTTTAGGCTTCCACTTCTCTACCAACCACCAGCTCCACTCAAGAGACAGAGTCATTTAAATCTGTTGCACTAATATTCAATCAAATTATTGAAGAAAACTACCCAAAGGCTTGAGCACTCAGTCAACATTAATTTAAATAACAAGTGCATCTCTTTTTGCATTTGAACAGTGTGTCAACAACCTTTTCAGAGAGTTGTTGCTACTATGCATATTTCCCCTAGGCTATCCTTTGTAAAAGAATACAGGAAAGAATTACAACTTGTCTAAATTGTGGCCATATTAGTTAATCTGAATGATTATGTTGTGAGAAATATGCTTGAACCACACACACAAAAAAAGTGCCAATAGAACTGAGATCAGGCTCTATACCGTGAATTAGCAAGTGAAAAATAATTATTAAAACTCCCTGATGTCAGAAAGGAACATTGTACTTTATACCTCACCTCCCATATTTCAAATCAAGTCAAGTTTTAATTGAGAACTTCCAGAATTATGAGAGGGTGAGAAAGGAAATTAAATCCATTAGTTAGAGAAGATCAGGAATGGAAATACCTTCCTAATTAGCCAAGGACTGGGAATGTAATACAGTGGTAGAGCTCTGACCTTGCAATTATTTAAAACATTGTATTGTGCTGCCTTTCCTATCCTCTACATGTAAATCAATGGATGTGTAACTGATGTGATTCTGCAATCTGTATATGGGGTAAAAATGGGAGCTCATAACCCACTTGAATCAAATTGTGAAATATGATATATCAAGAACTATGTAATGTTTTGAACAGCCAACAATAAAAAATTTAAAAAAAAAATAAATAAAAAAAAAGAAATAGGTCATAATGTATTTTTTAGTAAACCATGACAAAATATTTTCATAATGCTGCTAAGACCTTCAATTTTGTGCTTTTATTTCATCTTAAAGCATATCAAAATTTCCTGATTCTCTTTTCCCTTTCCCTTTTGGCCTTTTACTTCTCTAGAAGATGTGTTTGAAAGATGGTTCCTTTAAATTGTACCTATTGTTTTAAATCAGCTTGTCTTTTAAAATAAACTTATCTCTTAAATCATGAAAAAAAAAAAAAAACATTGTATTGCACTCCAGGAAAAAGATGTCCTGAGGATCAGGATACTTGTAAGTGTAAGAGGTCATGCACAACCAAATTTAAAAAGGAAAAGAATATTTCAAAGAATTGGAAGATGCAAACTCCAAGATCACAGAAAAAGAAAGAAAATCTAAGTAAGAAAAGTGAAAATCCTACAAAGTAACTTAGGCTTACATGAAAATAAGGCAAAATAACATTTTGTAGAGTTCTTTGACAAAAACACCACAGCCAAAAGGAGGTAAAAGATTTATAAGAGGGGGCTGGGTTGGAGCTTAGTGGTGAAGCATTTGCCTTCCACATATGAGGCATTGGGTTCAATCCTCAGCACCACATAAAAATAAATAAATGAATAAATAAAATAAAGGTATTGTGTTCATCTACAACTAAAAAAAATATTTAGAAGAAGGCATTAAGTTTAGAAATTTTTCCAATTCCTTGGAAAAAAATAACTTAAAAATCTATGTACTTCAGTGTCTATATTGGAAAATAACAATAATGCTCAATAATGTTTACGTAGAACTTATTGTTTGCCCCAATCTAGTTTAATTATAAATGTTAAGTCATTTGATCTTCCTAATAGTTCTTCTTATTATTTTTATGTTTTATACATGAAGAAAAATAGTACATACCTCACATAGGTCTGTTGCAATAATAACTAAGGTTGCTTATGTAAAGTGACAAGCACAGTACCTGGCACTCATTCATTCATTTAATAAGTATCTACTGAGCAATTACTACATGCAAGGAACGAGTCTCCAGGCAAGTAGTATTACAGCATAATGTGCTTAATAAACATTAATCACTTTATTAATAAATGTTAATTACTTTATTATACCCCTGCTCCCTCAAAAATATAAAATAACCAGGAACATATAAAGGTAAGAAGCCAAGGGAAAAATCAGTGAAATTTCTTTATTTTTTCTTTCTTTCTTTCTTTCTTTCTTTCTTTCTTTCTTTCTTTCTTTTTTGGGGGGGGGGTACCAGCAATTGAACTCAGAGCCACTCAACCGTTGAGCCACATCCCCAGACCTTTTTTATGTTTTATTAGACAGGGTCTCACTGTCTATGTTTTATTATTTTATGTTTTATTAGACAGGGTCTCACTGAGGAGCTTAAGGCCTCACTAAGTTGCTGAGGCTGGTTTTGAACTCATGATCCTCCTGCCTCAGCCTCCTAAACCACTGGGATTACAGTCATGCGCCACTGCACCCAACTGAATTTATTGATAATGGTGGGTAAAGAAATATCTGACATATTGCATACACTTTTTGCTTTGTTCTGTAGATCTTTATCAGAGGGCATTTTATGGTGATTACTACTTTGATATTATCTCTGAAATACACATTGGACATTGATTAAATTAGGACCAACACTCAGAATTATTCATGCCAAATTTACAAATGGGATGTTGACAAATCACTACAACTAAATGACATTTTTCAAATATTATAGAAAGAAAACAAGGAGAAAGTAGGGGATTTTAAACAAAACATGTACTCTCTAAGTACTGGCAGGTTACTAATGTAATTTCTGTTCAAAAAAGCCATAGAGGGGGCTGGGGATATAGCTCAGTTGTTAGAGTGCTTGCCTCACATGCACAAGGCCTGGGTTTGATTCCAGCACTAAAAAAAAAAAAAAAAAAAGCCATAGAGGGGACTTCTGAAATTCCAGGTCAGTAGTTACCACTACTTCAAACAAACTGGTAGTTACTCAACAGTTATAAATAACATAGAAGAAGAAAGGCACAGTCAAATTTCTGAAGCTACAATTCTATTAAAGTTTAAGATTAGTGGGGTAGAGTACAGGATGTTCTTATCAATCTGTAAATAAGACACGTTTTGACTTAAGATCTAGAACAGGCAATGAATTAATAGATCAAGGTATAATATGACTTTTTAAAAATCCTGATCAGGATCCAGGAAAAAGTAAGGGATCTCTGGGCTGTTTCCCTAAAACATCAGTTCAATTAAATCTTAAATGCAGGGTAAAGGGCTAGTGGTAAAGCTCTTGCCAGGCATGTGTGAGACCCTGGGTTCCATCCATAGCAACTTAAAAAAATAATAAATTCAGGGAAAAAATTAACAAACAATGAAATGCTGAGGACCATCAAGACATGTATCAGAAACCCTAAAAAACATTGATTTACCCATGCTGAACTCTTTTGCAGCTACAACGGGAATGAGATGTGCACTTCTGCCCACTGCAATCTCAACACCAGTCCTGAGTTAGAGAAAACTCTTTGAGAAGTGTGTATAAAATGATTAGAAAAGTAGGAGAGTGAGAACCTCATTTGAACCTCCACTGTCTAGTGACTTCATCTGCAGTCTCTTCCAAAGAGCCCTGTTCCTAAAAAGTGACCAAGAAGCTCTAGAATATGCCCAAGGTGTCATTTAAAGAAAGCAAAGGAAACTCAACATGGCAGATGAAAGACATGACTTGATGATGTAGGTTTGCACACCCTCCTTCCCCACCCTGGATATTCTGAGGATTTGAGCAGGCCCAGGAAATTATATTTTAAACATGACAATCAAGGAAATGTAAATATTAGATATTTGATATCATTAAGGAGCTATTGTTGCTAGATGTATTATAGTTTTTACTTTTTCTCTTTTGGCAATGCTGAAGTTTGAACTCAGGACCTTGTGCCTGCTAGGCAAGCACTCTACTGCTCAGCTACACTCCCAGTCCTTATTGTTTGTTGTTGTTGTTGTTGTTCTAATTAGTTATACATGACAGTAGAATGCATTTTGACACATTATATATATAT